ATGCCCTTTGACCCCCTGCCTCTGTGCAGCTCCTCCTTCAATTTCCCAACAAAACCCAGCCAACCATTTCTTGAGTTGCACTCCTGAGCAATGCCAGGTACATCTGCTAGTGTATAACAACGGTAAAAGCCACTCTTCCCTTCCTTTGTATCTTCCCTTCAGCCCAGCCCCCCCCAAAGCAAACAGTGAATACAGTCCCCACTACGTCACACCCAGCACTTTCCTTTATTGACCAATCATGTCATCGATATAAATTGTATTACCCATCTCAGCATCCTAGTTCAATAACTATCCATCATGCTGTCAATTCGGACCCTGTTTGAACCGGAGTTGGTTTGCTCTTGTTATCTGTGGGGTTGTGTTGGTACCGAGATGTTTCTTCGCTTTTTTCCCCCCTGGAAGAACAGCTCTTGCGCAAGAGGGGGGTTTTGCACAAGGAGCAGTATAGACGGCTCCTTTTTGCACAAAAGCCTCTTGCGCAAAAAGCAGCCGCTTATTAATTATGCAAATGAGGTTCGGCAATATTCCATACTTAGCTTCATTTGCATATTTCTTGCGCAAAACTCCAGCGCAGTGTAGACATGGCCAAGGTGTCCTGTTACAACCCCTCTGGAATGTGCTTACAGCCTGTGCCTAGCACCGCTGAGGTCTGAGTATTTCTCTAACATCAGCCCTATTCTTGCCAACTTCTGTGAGCAGGGCCTGCCACTCGCTCACAGCAGAACTCTATATTAGCCAAGTCTTAGACCTTGCTATCTAGACCTCAGGCCCCTCATCCAGCTTATGCTACCTGGGCTTTTGTTTCAGGCCCTCATCTTACCATGCACGCGCACACACACACACCTCGGTGCACAAACATTTATTCCACACATGGATAGAAAATAGAGGGAACATCGGTCCATACCGCAATTTTAGCTCCAGAGCTCAAGCCCAAAGCAGCTGACCCAGGCTCTCAGACTCGCCCCCATGGTTTGTTTTTGCTGTGTAGACGTCGATTCCAGACTAAAGCATTCATGAGCTTAAAACAGACAGAATAATGTACCTAAAAATAATCTTTTCTTTGACTGTGAAATATTTTTTTTAAATGACATTTTTGATGGCAAGGGTTTAAAATAAATATTGAAACGGCTGTAAATATAAAGTCCAATGTCATTACACAATTCCTCACATGGAAACTGTGCCCACAGGTTTTGTCTGTCCTGCTATTGTGGCAGGGTCAGTCTCCCTCCTGAGACCCTGACCACTGTTCGGTCCACTGTCCCACCCTTTGAGGGCTGCAGCAGGGCCCTCACCTGCAGAGTTTTTGTTCCTGGGCCTTCCTGGCCCTTAGCATAAAGGATGTTGTACTGGGCTGAAGCCCTGGGCCAGTCACGGCTGACCAGAAAGCCCTCTTCTTGCCCCGAAGGGTGGGGGGGGGGGGAGCCCAACACTGCATGCTCAGCTCCTCACCTTCCCCTGTATCCTTTAGCAGGGCTGGTGATTCCACCTGCTCCTCCATGCTGAGTCTCCTTAACACTCCTTGTTTTTCTCCTCTCTGCTCCTTCTCTCTCTCCCCTCTCCATCAGGGAGGGTTTTTAGAGAGGCCCGGGGCAACCCCAAGTCCTTTAACCTGCTCCTCACACTATAAATAAGCAATAAATGGTTTGAAGTTTATTCATACCCACAGGCATGCAGAGAATAAACCCCAACTTTTAATGTGTGGGGGTTGTGGTTGAATAGGAGGTTTTTTTTTTTTTGTTCTATTTTTTAGGTGGCAGTTCAGATGGATACAGGAGCTGTTAAAAAAAAAAAAAGCCAAGACATTAAGTCTGTAATGCAAACCTGCATAATTTGTTTTTAAAAATGATATAACTACAATACCCAGGGATGAGCTAGAACCACATTGCACCAGGTACTGCACAAACATGGAACACGTTCTCCTTGCCCTGAAGAACGTATAATCCAAATATGAGAAAAGACAACAGATGGATACAGACAGAAAAGGGAGACAAGGACTAATGAGACACTATTATGCAGCACGATAGATGGCAGCATCGCCCCACCAGCAGTCCAGCTGTTGTCAAGTTAATCAGCACTTAATCATAAATCGAGCCAGTGGGGAATTTTTCAGTTAAATGTTTTTTTGGAAGTTTTCACAAAAAACCCGCCCAGAGATCCCAGAATAGCCAACTGGCAGAGGCTTGGGGCACTCCCCACGTTCCAGTCTTTGATCTGTATTTGGGTTCCCACATCCCAGATGACTGGCTACTCCAGGACAGGAATGGGTGTTTGTGTAGGTTTTTCTCTCTCTCTCTCTTTTTTTTGAGGGGGGGGAGAAAACTTATTCAGACTAAGGGCTCAGTTTTGTTCCAGTGCAGAATGGGACAGTATCTGGAGTTACTGCATTTTCAGGGGAAGGGGAAAGTTTCCCAGCCAGCGCTAATCAGATAATATACCAGTGAGGAGGCAGCTATTCAGTGGGGGGGGCTTGATACTAGATTCCAACTACCAGCCTCCCACAAATCAGCCTTGACTATAAAAATCTCCCAGGGACATTCTCCATCAGATTATACCAAACCCTGGCATGTCATGTCCCTCCAAGAATCTATCTGACATGATTACTGTGCATGTGGTAAAATCTGTTTTTTTCTATGATGCTAAACTCCACAGCAAGGGAGTCAGGGGAGAGGACAAGCTCACTGGGTCCCTGGGTGCGCACCCTTGAAGGGGTAGGACCTAGAGCAAAAGGGGAGGGGCTGGGACAGACAGCCCTCAGCATCACCTAGATGACCCAGTGCCCCCCTTTCTGCCACCGGCCCTCAGAGCCGGCCGAGTGCACGGCGCACAGCTCTGGCGCGTGCTTCAGCAGTGATTTTAAAGTGCTCAGGGCAGCGACCGCAGAAGCAGCAGCTGAGAGCCCCAGGCTCTTTAGAATCATTGGGTGCCCCCAGTCGGCAGGGCTGGAGGTAGCGTACACTTCAATGCGCTCAACACAGCGGCTGTGTCTAGACTGCATCCCTTTTTCGTAAAAGGGATGCAAATGAGACCTATCGCAATTGCAAATGAAGCGGGGATTTAAATCCCCCCCCGCTTCATTAGCATAAAAATGGCTGCCGCTTTTTTCCGGCTTGGAGCTTTGCCGGAAAAAAGCGCCGGTCTAGATGCTGATCTTTCGGAAAATAAAGCCTTTTCCAAAAGATCCCTTATCCCTCTTAAAATAAATCCCCGCTTCATTTGCAATTTCAATCGGTCTAATTTGCATCCCTTTTACGAAAAACCAGCTTGTTTTACTTGGAACAGGGAGTTCCAACGCCTGAACTGTGGGTGCGCTACGTTCCATAAGAACCCTGCACAACTGATTTAGTGTCACGTATCATGGCGCAAGATCTCCACCAACTAGGACACCCGTATCTCACCAGATCGGCTGCTAGGCGGCCACAGCTTTTCAGACCTTTATCTCCCACCTGCCCCCCTTCACCGCAGCTGCACCCTACTCATCACAATTCTGCGGTTGCACAAGGATGGAGTGGACCACAGATCTGATGCAAAATCCTCTGAGGTCCTTGGAGGAGCTGGCATTGACTTGGGAGGGGGCTGGATTAGGCCCCTCGCCTGCAGCGTCACAAACAAGGCTAAGGTTGCTGTTGGCTGCAAGCAGCAGAGCTCTGCAAATCTGCAGGTACCCGCAGAGAGTCACAGATCATCTTTGCAGATGCAAATATTGTGCCCGCACAGGGCTCTAACAAGTGGCCCTGAGCACTAGCTAGCACGCCAAGGGACAATGGCAACACAAATGCGGTGAACTAACGGGAAGAAAAGGACAAGGGCTGGGTTGCTGGAGCAGCAGCTCTCGCTGCTGAGAATATGGGGTTCGTGCATGCTCAGAAGCTAGCGGCTAGCTGGTTCCCCGGCAGGCTCTGCTATCCCATCCCCGTGGGCAGAGGTGAAAGGAAGACACTGCGCCCGGGTGCGCTGCTTAGGCAGCAAGGAGCTGGCCAGGACACGCTCCCAGCTGGGCTGCAGGGACTTCCTTCAGGCTGCCATGAACCTCCCCCCGGGTACAACCCAACAGTACCTGTAAGAAAGGTAAGTTACTTGCACCTCTGCCCGTAGTGTGGATAGGAGGCACTGCAGGGATTTGCGCAGGATGGGGGAGGGGGAAGGGGAGTGTCCTAGAAAGCAGAGGGTTTTCAAACTTTTTTTCTTGTGACCCAGTTGGGGAAAAGCCCAATAAACGGTATCGATTTAGAGCGTCCCCCACGTGGCTGCCGGGAAAGCCTCTTCCTTGCAGGGCTCCCCTTCCTTGCTTCCAGGCAACTCCCCTCCCCCACTGCGGAGCTCCCCAGACGCTGCTGGGGAACACCCCTCCCCTTTGCAGAATCCCCCTGCTCCCTTGAGCTCTGGCTGCCGACCCAGGGATCCACATTCGGCACCCCAGGACTGGGTCGCGACCCGACCTTTGGGAATCACGGCTCTCAACATCTCTCTGTCTGAGGGTTTTGTATAGCGCCAGCTCCTCACATCACTGCCCCCCATCCACCTTCCTCCAGCCCCGCACAGCTGGCTTGGAGTCCCAGGCAGGGAGGAGGGGGAATTCCCAGACGTCATGCCAGGAGAGCTTTGGGAGTGGGGAGGGAGACTCAGGCAGATGCACATGCAGGAGTTGGCCTGCTTGGAGCACTCCCCCCCCTCCGCCCCCCAAGCAGTCCGTGAAACAGGTGTACCCGTGCAGTAGCAGCAGGGGGAGGCTGCTATGAAGGGAGGCTGCTGGAAGGGATGAGAGTCACCCACCTGCTAGGCACATTGCTGTGTGGCCTAGGGGAGCCTGTCCTCGTACCGTCTTTCATAGCCTGCGTTGCACACCCCCAAGCTGAGTCGGATGGTAACGGGATCTTGGGGAGTCATTCCTGGGGGGGAGGGGAGACACAACGTCAATGCGGTTGGTTTGCTGGGAGCGTCAAGGAGCCTGTGTCATTCCTCCGCAGGGGAGGACACCACGGTACAGCCCGTCCTGCCGGCTCTCCCCAGAGCGCGCTGCCACTAGCCAACTCAGAGGGGCCACGGAGGGGATCCAGCCAGGCGAAGGGAACACAAGGGACTCTCACCACTCAAACCAACTGGGCACCTGTGTGAGAAGACAAGTCTCCAACCCAGGCCATCTTTTGCCTGCCACCACCACTCGGCAGCTTGCTGGGATCCTCGCTCACCACAGGCCCCTGCCGTGAAGCTCCCCGCTGTAGGAGACGCCCAGCCTCTCAGAGGGGCTAACTCACTGTTTACACCAGGAGGAGACAAGACACAGGGGCTGTCCGAGCTACTAGGTGAGTCCTGAGCATGCAAAGGGGAACCTGCCTTCTCAGCTGACTTCGGTGCCCTACGTTCCTCCTGCCCTCCGGGCCAGATCCTTGCTGGGACACCCCCCACTCTGCCTCTCTCTTTCTAGCTTGTGACTCCGGCTCCCATTCCCAGGTCTGTCTGCCTCCATCCTGGTTTATGACAGTACCCAGCTTCTCCCACCGAATGGGCAATGACTGACCATCCACCCCGACTTGCTCAAATGCCACCCAACCTCCAGGCTTCCATGGCATGGACCTAAGATGCCTCCTGGGGCAGGTTGCCCTGCTAGTAAAAGGCTGAAACATTTACTGACACCACCAGAGATCCCCCAAGACACAGGGACATACTGGATGGCCCCGGGCGAAGGTGTTCTCCTCAGAGCTCCCATGCAGATGCCTCCTCCCGCTTGAGCACATGGGCTCAGCTTCCCATAGCTACGGGCAACAGGGAGCAGCCAATCTACAGGGCTCTGAGCCAGAGCGCTCGAGGTAAAGAGCAGCTCCTAATGCACTACCCTGAAGGCCCGCCATCTCCATGGCTTGTAAAAAGGGATGCCGCTGTACCCCTTCCCCATTCTAATTTCCTGATCATGTGCCCCCATCCCATCCCAGCCTCCCAAATAGCTCCGGGGCTCAGCTCCACCCTCTATATGCCAGTGTTTCGTAAACTGTTCTGCAGCACACCGGTGTGCCACGAGGCAGTCGGAGGTGTGCCACGGAGAACAGAATTCAAAATGGCTCCCCTTAAAGGGGCAGGCGACCTTTTTTTTCGAATAACTTTCCCCCAATCCCCTCCCCCATTTTTTTTTTTTTTTTTTGGCTCAACAAAAAATTCTTGGTGTTCCCCATAAAAAAAATTGTTCGGTGTTCCTCGGTCTTCAAAAGTTTAAGAAACACTGCTCTATGGCACGTCTCTGGTTTATATATCCTTCTGGTTCACCCCCCACTCCTGGCTCTGCTTTGATCTCTACACCCAGCTCATGCTTCCGCATCTCCTTCCACACACCTGCCTCTTCTCATCTGCACCACCCAGCAAGACCCCCTCCCACAATGACTAGCCCTGTGTGACCTCAGACCCCTACAGTACCTTCTTGGCCCTTCAGAACTTCTCTCAGAGCTCTGCAGGCAGCTCTCTTGACCTCCAGTGTCCCCTCTGGCTGGCCTGGGCTGTAAACTGCCGCTTCCACCACCAGTTCCTGGAAGCCACCATCCAGCAAGCACTGCATTCTCCTGAGTGCCCCCGCAGCCTGTTCTGGTTCCATCGGCTGGTGCTGCAGGTCCGGCTGGATCATCACCAGGACCAGAGCAGCTGGCATGCAGGGGAAGAGATTCCAACTGCATGAGCTGCCTCAGGGTGGCGGCTTGCCACAGCATGAAGACCAGCTGTGGTTCCATCTCCGGCTCTTCCTCCTTGATTTGCTCCTTCTGGTGGAGTTTGGCCTTTAGGTCAATCCCTCTGAAGAGTTCCTGGGCAAAGTCCAGCTGCACAAGGGGGACTGACTCATGGACATCGTCCATCTCCATGACTAGCACCTGTCCATTCCGCCTGCCCACAGCGTCCAGGAGAGTCAGGAACTGCCAGTGTACTGGCTCGGACGGGGAGCACACAGGGGTCTCCTCTAGCAGCTCCAACTCCATCTCTTCCTGCCAACAAGTGGTTTGTTACATGGCGCGTGAGGGACGCCCAGGACAAGGTTTCTGGGTACAGAGAAAACGAAGATTCTGTGGGTCCCAAGCCAGTTCAAGCACCGCTAGCACCCAAAAATCGCAACGTCAACATTACCGGATGGGTTGGTTGCCAGAATCCAAGCCTGCCCAGCAAGCCCAAGCCGCCGCCTGCACCACACCTGCAGGGACTTAGCATCGTGTAGACATAACCCACTCCTTGGTAAGCAGTTCAGATAGAAGTTTATTGAATAAAGGATCAGAAGTCTTGCAAAGAGCAAAATAAGATCATGTGAAACCTTCCACAAGAGGATCAAAAAATTGGTCATTGCCATGTGTTTTTTTCCTGTGAGTTAGCCATGGCACTGGAGGTGCAACACATGGATTATCTGTACCAGGGGTGGCCAACATGTGGCTCTAGAGTCATCGGTGGCTCTTTTGAAATTAATGTGGCTCCTTGCTCAGACACCAACTCCAGGGCTGCAGCTACAGGTGCTAACTTTCCAGTGCTCAACTCCTGGCTCTACCTCCTCCTCCAAGACCGCCCTCGTTCCTTCCCTCCCCCACAGAGCCTCCTGAGTGCCATGAAACAGCTGACATCAGTGGGCAAGGGGCCGGGGAAGGAAAAGGAGGTGCTGATTGGCAAAAAATGCTGCAGACAGGAGAGGAGGCACCTGATGGGGACTGCTGACAAATTACTGTAGCCCTCTGGCAATGTACATTGGTAAACGGTGGTTCCTTCGCAGGCTTGAGTTGGCCACACCTAATCTATAGTTTGTGCGTTGGCCACACCTAATCTATAGTTTGTGCACCCTTCTCAAGAGGCAAAACAAAGAGCAATTGCCAGTCCAGTCCAGACAGGAGCTCATCCCACATGGGATCTCATCACTGTCCAGGAACAGGCTCGAATCCAGGTGATATGAAAACTTGGAACCACCACCGGGAAGTTTTAATAACTTCTTCAGGTGACGGTTGGCTCATAGCTGGAGGCACACCACCTCTCTGCCACCCCCCTTCCCTTTAAAAAAAATCCTTGCTCCTGTCACGCATGTGTCACATCCCCATAAGCTCTTGGGCTATCTTGTGGGAGAGTAGCACAGATTGTTTTGCTTAAAGCTATCCATTTTCAAATTGCTGCCTTTCAGCTTCCTGGCATCCCCCTATTTTCAGGAGGAGAGAAGTCAGCCAGGGAGAGCAGATTTTACCTTCTCAGTCTGTACCATTTTTCTGCATCTCTATAACCAGGGCTCAACAATTAGTGTAATCTACTCGCTCGTGGTGAGTAGATTACAAGCTGGCACAGCCGCACAGTGCGCCGAACTGCGCAGCTGGCGAGCCCTGTCTATAAACCTCTCACTTGCCCCTCAGGCCACTTGTCTGAAAATCTGCTTTGTCACCTCTGACCAGCTTTACTTTTGGCAGCATCTCTTTAAAGAAATCATTTAAATAGTGCATGAGACAATTAAGAGCCCAAAGTTCTGCCTTCAGGGCCTCAGACAAGGTGAAAACACTAGGCTACCCTGCCTGCACAGGGTGCGGAGGGGAGAGAATGGCAGGACAAGGAACAATGGTCTCAAGTTGTGGTGGGAGAGGTCGAGGTTGGATATTAGGAAAAACTATTTCACTAGGAGAGTGGTGAAGCACTGGAATGGGTTACCTAGGGAAGTAGTGGAGTCTCCATCCCTAGAGGTGTTTAAGTCTCGGCTTGACAGTCCTGGCTGGGTTGATTTAGTTGGGATTGGTCCTGCCTAGAGCAGGGAGCTGGACTTGATGACCTTCTGAGGTCTCTTCCAGCTCTATGGTTCTATGATTCTAAAATACTCTCTCCTAACAAGGGTGGTTGGGACAGATTCATACTTCTCGGACCACATATAGACCTGAAAAGGAATACAGTAAAACTCCGATGGTCCGGCATCTGATGGTCCGGCACTCCTGATGGTCCTGCACCAACAGGAACCTGGAAGAGCTCCAGGCAGCCGGACCATTGGAGCTGCTCTGCCCCCACTTCCCCGATTCAGCCG